TTTCATGAAAGATCTTTTATCTACAAATTAACATGGCAAGGAGGGGTAATCAGTGCAGGACGATTCATAGTTCTTTATTGGACCGTTGGTGGAAAGCACATTCTGCCCATACTCACACAGACAGATTAGTGAAGAACCTTGGGGGAGGGGGAAGGGAGGGGGGTATGGGACCCCATATTGGCACCAACCAAAAGCAAGTGAGTTACACCAACACGGCACCACGTATTATTGTGCGTGAATACGTGCTGTCCATTATGTGTGCTCTGGTTACAGTTATGACATGTAAATACCGGTAGATGTTCTGCTTGTAATTAGCACGTCACATAGCCCTACAGTAGCATGTCAGGTCTGGTTGGCAGTCGTGATGTCATGCAGTGTATGATGCGTCACGTGACGACAGGCGTGCGCCGCACCACGTTTCAGTCAACGAGGACCCGCACCAGGCGGTCCCGCGGGTCACGGTGGGGCTGGAAGCCTCCTGTCTCGGATGAGGCCCGGGACTCAGCACCGCACTCCGCGCGGTGGCCGTGCGGGTGGACACGCCTGCTGGGCGGCTGCCATGGCACAGCGCAGGGTGAGGGACAGTGCGTGTGACGTCATAAACGGCTGTACCGGCTCCTCCCGCTCCCCTCACCGTCCTGTCAGCGTGAACTCCCTCGACGTTCAGACAGAAACGCCTCTGACGGCAGCCGTGCTGCGTGCAGGCCTCACGCCTTGGGTTGTCTCTATCCGTCGTTTCCTCCTGTGCTTCATTGAACCTCTGGTTGTTGTTTTGTTTTGTTTTTAATCCTCACCTGAGGATATTTTCCCATTGTTTTTTAGGGAGAGTGGGAGAGAGAGGGAAAGACAGAGAGAAACATGGCTTCGAGAGAGACACATTGATTGGTTGCCTCCTGCAGGAGCCCTGACCAGGGCCCGGGCAGGGGAGGAGCTTGAAACCGAGGTGCATGCCCTTGAACGGAATCGAACCCGGGACCCTTAGGTCCACAGGCTGACGCTCTACCCGCTGAGCCACACTGGCCAGGCCCACTCTGGTCTCTTGTAGTCAGGTCTACAGTTTCTGAAGCCCGATGCTTCAGGGGAGAAAGGCCTGGCAGGAAGGGAGCTGGTGTCTTGGGCGTCGCCATGGTGACCATCAACTCAGCCCTCTCTCTCTCCTTTGGGGACAGATCGCCCGGGCCTCCTGCACGTGGGACAGATCGAGAAGATGCAGGAGGGCATTGTGCACGTGCTCCGGCTGCACCTGCAGGGCAACCACCCCGACGCCGCCTTCCTCTTCCCCAAGCTCCTGCAGAAGATGGCGGACCTGCGGCAGCTGGTCACGGAGCACGCGCAGCTGGTGCAGGTCATCAAGAGGACCGAGGCGGACGCCGCGCTGCACCCGCTGCTGCAGGAGATCTACCGCGACATGTACTGAGGCCCCGAGCGCAGGAGGAGCTGCTCCACAGCGCTGCAGAGAGGGGAGCGAGGCCCGACCCATCCCCACCACCGGCCTCCCCCGGCCTTGCCCACCGTAGCCCGGAGCCCGGAGCGTGCAGCGGAGGCGGGAGAAGCCTGCCGGGCGTGAGTCCATCAGATGTCCTGACAGCGCCCTAGCGACTCCCACTGGACACCCGACCTCACAGCGACGGGCTGCCTGCCGTCCGCGCGGACTGCTGGCTCCTTTGTAACTGGGAAAGCTAATCGCACTTTTTAACGTTCGTAATCCTGTGTTTCTAGAGGTAACCAAAGGATAGGGGCTTTACAAGCAGCAGCGTATTTATTCGAAGGCTTCGATTCTGGTTCCTGAGTTCAAAGAGACCTGCTCTTTTTTAACCGTAGGATTTAGCGTTCCGGAAGTTACTGATAAGCTATCGCGGTGCGGCGGTTCCCTGTGTGACGGGCGGTCGCTGGACCGCGGAGAAGCCTGTGTCCAGGTTTGGGGAGAGGGTCCCGGGAACCGTGTCTGGGCCCCTGGTCTGGACCGCAGGCCTGTGCGGAGCCGGCGTCGGTGGGCAGGATGGTGACGGACTCGAAAGTGCCTCAGGGTCCCAGCTTGGGGCCCCTCAAACCGGCACCACTCAGGCTGCCTGGGCCCTGGTAGCGTTTGCGGGGCAGCCTGACAAGCTACCTGCAGATGTTCCTCTGGGTCCCGCGCCTCCGGCAGCTCCGTGGTCGCTCCCTGTGCGGCTTTTAAATCTGCAGCTTGTGTGTGTAACGCTCGGCGGCAGTGCTGCTCCCTGGAGTGGAGAAGACGAGGCGCATGTGACTTTGGGGGGCGGGTCACAGGAGAACAAAGGGGAGGGGAGGGGCGAGGTCCCTTAAAAGGCTGCACCTAGAACAGGACTCGCCAAGCCTGGCGGCTGTTACGAAGGCTGACAGTAAGTGTCCTCCAAACACCATGTCAGGCGGTTCCCCACGTGCCTGTTTCAGCCCTAAAGGTCCACTGCTCGGCCTCGGTCTCCTGAGAGCCACGCTGACCGTGTCCATAGCACGTGGCCTGCAAGCACTCTCCTCCATCACCTTAGCGGACCCATTGTCCCCTCATTCCAGCAGCCCGCCTCCGTGTGTCACCCTCTGTCCCCACCCCCACCCCTCCATCCCCACCCCCATCCCTCCATCCCCACCTGCATCCCTCCATCCCCCACCCCTCCATCCCCACCCCCACCCTTGGCCACAGTCACCGGCCGCCACCTGGTCCCGCACTGAGGCCACAAAGGCCCGCTGGGCTCCAAGACCAGCCTCCCCTCCTCCCAACTGCAGCAGCTCCAGCTCAGCTGCCTGGTCCCTCCGCCCCATCCCGCACCCCCTGGCATCTCTGCACCTTTGTGGGCGAGGCCCTGCTGGTGCCGCTCCCCAGTGCTGGCAACAGCAGGATCTACGACGGGGGACTGCTGGTGCGGGTCCTTTCCTTCCCGTCCCTGCTCTACTGGGATCACTGCGAACCTTCCCTG